GGACAAAATAATGTATAACATGAAATTTTAGGGGCGAGTTAATGTTGGTGCTGATTACAAATAATGGATTCCCATAAAATCTGTATTTTGGAGAACTTTGTTTTTATAGTTTTACACCATGTGCAAAAATTTAAAGAGTCTGCCAAAGTTAGTTGTTCAAAAAAATTTTAGTATTACAAGTTAAGCTACGAAATATATAAAGAAATAAGGTTTTAAAGCAGAACTGTTCAAACTTTGTAGATTGAGTTAGAAAAATAAGTAACAAATATTTGTATCTCAAGAAATTAAAATAGTATAAATTAACAAACTCTGTAAGTATTTAAACATTTTTTGTATCACTTTTGACTATTAGATAATGTCCAATTTTTTTCAAGTAAGATCTTTTGCTATTGTAATATCCAAAAAATTATCCTAACAGCTTATCAATATGAAATAACATAAAAGTGATTAAAGTAACGATAGCTTGGAGAATATGATAATTATGTTTATAAATTTTTCATTCATTCCTTGGGCTAAACCAGACGTGATATATCTTACATTAATAAAACGAATTAATAAAAATATTTACCATAGTATGTATCCAGTTTTGGTTTGCAATTTCGAAATAATATAATATTAAACTCCGATTCTGGAGGGAACTCAAATCGAAACAATATCTCTAAGCAATATATTAAATTTTCAACGCTCAAATTGAAAAATATCGTTTATCGTAAAAGTTCTTCAGGGTTTCTTTAGACAACCAGCGCATACTAATAAATTCAGGTCAAATTTAAAATCAACAGGGGTTATTATGTCCAGGAAGCTTAAAAATAATGTTTAAACTCTTAAAGATTTATTTTAGAATAATTTATGAGAACTCATTCAAGTTTTCATTTCATCAGTTAGTTATTTTCTCTGTTAAATATACCGTGGGGGTTCATTGTTCATCAATAATTTAGAATATACTGATCAAAATAATACTTTATCATGAGTTAATATTTTTTAAATATATTTGCACGCCCCAATACAAATTTTATTTTAATGCAAAACATTATTATTATTACTGAGTAGTAAATAAGTTAATTATACAAACAATTTTAATTCGAGTAAAATATTAATTATTGAATAATAAATTTGTTTAAATATTTAACGCTATATAAATAATCCTCAATAAATCAATTCAAAGTTTACTTTGAACTATGTATAAAATTTGATTCGAAAGATAATAAACTAAGAAAATTTAGCAGAACTGATCTTTGGACATGTGTAATTATAAAAAAATAGGGTGCATAATGTTATTCCAACCTGAATATAATTGTTGAATGAAAGCAAAATTTGCATACGGCACAAAGAAAACATTGTTGTCAAATTGTATGTTTTAGTTTACTATATTGAGGTAAAAAAAAACTTATATTTAAAATATACGAAAAAAATATTATTATTTTTATTTAAAACGTAACAATTGAAATTAGTCAGAAACGTCACTATTTTATTCAATTCATTCGTTTGGCTTTTCATTATTAAAATTGTAATTGGTTTTTTGTGAGTTATTTAAGTAGGAAGTCACTGACTTTTTTTTGCTATTAAGTACAATTAAGAAATATTTTTTGTATAATTAGATGTATATTATTTATAATACTAACTTTTATAACAAGAAAGTAATTACAACAAAACACTGAAAAAATATTTAAGATTTATCAGGATATTATTATACAAAAATTGACTCAATGTTGAAATGACCACAAATTTCAATTTATTTTCAAATGAATCAACACGAAAAAAATTAATTGTTTGTGCTTAACTGTTCAGTAAATTAAGCTTGTCTATATATTTTAATATATTAAAATTAAAAGATCCTTTCTATGGTTAAAACATACAGACTGTATATTGTATATTGTATGTTTAATGTATGTCATTCGATTTTTCCTAAAATTATTTCTGTTGTGTTTTAGTTGTATATATTTCTCAATTTATTAGTTATTAAGTACTTATTAAACTCATACCTTATAATATATTGGGGTATCAACTTAATTTTTTTAAACGGCAACATACATATTTCACAAGCTTGTAAAATAGAAAATGATATATTTAAGAAAATGACGGACTGATAACAATATTTGAATCAGTACTTTAGAAATTATGACGATTTTAAAATATATATAGACTAGGGATAAGACGCGAGTATAACTATTTATATGGCAGGATATTTCTTAGTTGCATTTCTCTTGCTCACATTCATAAATATTAATAACTTTCGAATTACTGACCTAGAACTTGTTATCGACCTGTCATTTTATCAATTAGATCATTTCCTATTTTATAAGCTAATTTAATTATAATATATAATATTTTAAAGGTAACGTAATGTAATCAATTTGTAAAAATTAAAAATAAAGTTGACACCACTACAAGCTATGAAGGAAGTTGCTTAAAATTAATTAATAACTGATAAATAAAAAATACTTTAACTAAAAAAATCAAAACATTATTTCTCAATATTGAAATTATATTGTGAGTAACTGAGTGAGTTATAATTGAGTGAGATAATTGGATCACTTTGTATTAATTCTGTGTGAGTATATATTTTACAATAACCCATAAATACTATTTTAATAGAAAATATTATTTTTAAAATTGTTTATTTATATATATTTTTTTCAAATGATTTAGAAATTATATCATTTCAAAAAATACTATAGAAAAATATCGTTTGAATTGAGTACAATCAATTGTAACATAATAGCTATTATATGTAATAATATAAATATTCTAATTTCATGAGTTGGGTTTAGTTATGATAAAGTTCTAACACGTAATAATGAATTGTACAAGAATGAAACATTATTGTTTGAATATTAACATTAATTTTTGGGGCATCATATCAAAATTAAACAAATAAATTATCAAAGAAGATAATATAATTTATTTGGTAAAGATTATATTAAATATAGATGCTGATAAAATATTTACAGCAAAATAATTAGGGAATTTTGTAGAAAAAATAAATATAATCCATTAAATTTATAAAGTAACTAAAGTCATGTGTTATTCTAATGTAAATATTAAAAATTATATATTAAAATACTAATTTATTTTACCTCACAAATTTAAATATATGTTACCTAAAATTATGTAAAAAAAATACAATAAAATTATATGTTTCAAATTCAATACTTAAGTGATTAAGTTCAAAGTAATTTCTTAAATAATAATAAAATTATATAATTTATAAGTTACTAGGGTAAATATGAAATAGTAGAAAAAGTGTCATTTTATCAAATTAAAGCTAAATTTTTTAACCATAGAAAATTGGTTATTTGATACTGCAAAGCATATATATGATTTTTAAATTAACTTTTTAAAATAAAAATCTAAGTGGTTTAATATCAAGTTATAGTGTACTGTTGTTTTGCATTATCTAAGACATTTTTCATTTTACTGAAATATTTTAATATGATACAATTAATATGATTTAAAAAAATAGGAAATGGATATTCATTTTCTTATACATTGTATAAGAATAATACTAAAAAAATGAAATACCAAATTTTGGAATATGATTTTGGTAATTTTTTATTTCGTTATTTTATGAATGTAAAAAATACTAATATAGATATATTTTTTTTTGTAAAATTTAAAAAGTTTCTTTCTATATAGGATAGAAATCATTAATAATGATTGACAATAGAATTAAATATTTCAATCATTATTTTACGGTAATATTCTCTGGTCATTTAATTTTAGTGTGAGTTCTAGATTAGTATCAGAGGTACTCTTAAGTGGAATCTCAGAACTTAATCGTTAAAGAAACGCCAACTTACTCTAAGAAAGTTGTGTGTTATTGAAAGTTCTAATTTGATAAAATTGATGAAGTTTAACGTCAAATGAAAATGCAAGACAAGAAATAATAGAAGTTTATTAGTGCTATGACGCTTAAAAATATTTAATTTACTAAAATAAAGTCATATAAATATAGAAAGATATTTCCTTTGAAAACTCAATCACATAACATTTATTTATGATTTATTACACAATTAAATTGATTGCAGTATTAATATAAATAATTGTTTATTTATGTCAAAATAATGTATTTTTGTAAATTTAAATATATTTTACTCATTCTAAACGCTAGACATTTTTTAAATAACAATATTTTATCAATTTACGAATATTTAGAGGTGAATATTAAAAAAAAATGTTTACTATTACGCACTACAATAAAAGATATCCGAAAATGTGACGTTAACTTTAGCTATAAAATTAATAAAACATAATGCTACTATCAATATTCTTTAGTAAGGTATGATATGAATAATTTCTTTGTCATCAATATTAGAGCCTATGCTTCTGTAACCCTAACATAACTTTGGGATACTTGGGTTATTAAAGAGAATACAATTTTCAAACATATATGCAGGTAGGTATAATAATATATAATTGAAGTAGATATATTGCGTTCATAAATATGTACGCGATTTCAATATACCTAATGTTTGAAACTCGAAAATAAATATTAATCAATACATACTTGTTTTGTTTTCATCTAATAAATGAAGCATATAATTTTTATATTCATATATTTTTTTTAATATTGCTTATGTATAGTATATGTGGTTCATATGCTTATTATTCATAAGTTATTACAGTTAAATGCCTATTGCCAAAACAATTATTTGAGACTAATTTTATAGGAAATAATTAAAAAAAAAAAATTGCTTAACTTAATGATTTTTTGTGGTAACGCATCTTTTTTGCATAATTTTTTCGAAACTTTATTTATGCTAATATCAGCTTAATTTAAGTAATAATAAATCACTAATAAGTGAACTGAAAAATCAATGGCTTTTACGAAATTTAACAATGCAACCTTTTTTTGCTCTACTTTTTTTCTCGAGAAAAACATTTCTATTAAATTTCCTAAAATAGAATTATACAACGATTGATTTAGTGTAATTTATTCAATTGTGCAGAGAATAGTAAAAATAATACAAACCCTAGCTAAGGTACCCACGAATACTAACCTGAAAATACAAAACCAGCTTGCATGCTAAAGTTCCCATAAACCATGTCTCTGTGACGTCCCACAACACTGTGGGTGGTGAACAAATCAAAATCACAAGAAAATCGGCCACAGCTAAGTTGACAATGAAATAGTTTGTAACCGTCCGCATTGTTCGGTTCCTACAGAGCAAATAAATATCATGCAAATCTATTAATAAATTAACTTTGTTATTTTAATTAAAATACTAAAATCGAAAGTAAGTAATTTCAAACTAAGTTTAACTTAAATTAATAAAATAGCCTATTTATATTTTTCAAAAAACTACTTTATATTATGTTAATATATCATCTTAATGTAAAAAAATTAACAAAATTGTTAATTGTTTACTGATCCGAACCTTGGTAATACTGACTATTAGACCAAAAAAAAAATTTTTTTTGCCTGTCTAAAATTGTTTATTACGTTGAAATTAAGTATTTTCAGAAATTTTATCTCCCTACGATTTTTTGTACGCTATTAACATTTTATAGTGATGGTTACAGGTAAGACGTGGGTGTTGTTATTATTTATTTATATTATTAGTTATTTCCCAGCCGTACTTATCCTCCCACATAGCTATAAAAATGTCAATAACTTCCAAAATACTGATCTAAAAGTTGTTATCGACCATTTTCTTAATTAGAATATTACATAGCTAGTTAATTATGTATATTTCCATTTGGAAAAATAAATATGTTATTATTAAAAGGTGTAAAGGATGAACATAAAAAATACTTGATAATTGATGAATTGAGAAAAATATGTACTTAAAATAAAACAAACCAATAATTGTCAATACTTTTTTTATTATTCGATTAATTAAGTGTTTTATAATAAAGAATATATACTATACACAGGGCACTGTATACAGGGTGATTTTTTTATCATAACCCACTCAATTACTTGCAGAATAATGATAATTTAAACATTTTTTTTTTCATTATCTTTAGTTACACATTATTCTTGAATTTTTAACTATGTAATACTTTTTAAGTTCATCCCTTATGCCTTGGAGGGGGGTCAACTTTGTTTTTTTAAATGGTAACACATATTTTTAATTTAATAAAATGTTTGAGTTTTTAATTTAATAGTAAATGGCATTTGAATTTTTAATATAACTTAATTCGTTTATTAGATATAAACATTTAAAGTTTCAAATTTTTAAGTTAATATACATGTATAATACACAAGGGATTACAAATATAGGTAGCTAATTGATTTTTTATGACATCGATATTAGCAGGTACACAGCATTGTTATTATCAATGATAGTAAGGTACATTGTTGTGAGTTTATAAATACACTAACTGACAATACAAAAAGTATATCTAATGATAGTCATAATTGATAATAAGCAATCCATGACTGTGACAGCAATGACATAAAAANTGCTGTGTACCTGCTAATATCGATGTTATAAAAAACCAATTATCTACCTGTATTTGTAATCCCTTGTGTATTATACCTATATACTATTAACTCAAAATTTGAACTTTAAATGATTATATCTAATAAACGAATTAAGTTATATTAAAAATTCAAATGCCATTTACTATTAAATTAAAAACTCAAACATTTTATTAAATTAAAAATATGTGTTACCATTTAAAAAAACAAAGTTGACCCCCTTCCAAGGCATAAGGGATGAACTTAAAAAGTATTACATAGTTAAAAATTCAAGAATAATGTGTAACTAAAGATAATGAAAAAAAAGAAATGTTTAAATTATTATTATTCTGCAAGTAATTGAGTGGGTTATGATAAAAAAATCACTCTGTATAGGCACTAATTGACAATATTGTAAATTAGTAGTAAATAAACGTTTAATTATTTGATTATTCACCATTTATTTAATTTGGCGATATTTCGATATCATAATATACTTGAGCTACTTTTAGGTTTCTAAAATAAAATTTAGGCACATTATTTTCATACCACGCCCGTTTGTTTGTTCTTCAAAAATAATACCATATGTTTTTTAGTCACAGTATTTTGTTATTAATCACTTTTTATCATCATCATTTATAACAAATAGGGATCAACTTAATTTTTTGAACTGCAACATATATATAAATATGCATTTATATACTTATTCAAATGGTCCACAATGATTTGACAAATAAAAAACTTTTGATTTATTGAATAATTTGTCACTTTTATTTAAGTTATTATTATGCTTTAGCACTATTTAAATATCATCATTTAATTTTATAAAAAAAATATTTGATATTTTTTAAAAATGTAAAAATGTACTATAAAAAACTATAATAAAAATAAAAGAATTATAAATAACATTTTTTACAATAGGCTTTAAGAAAAAATTTTGTTGGGCAGCAGTAAGTTTTTTATAGCATTTTAAAATTTGTCAAAAATTGAATTTTCATGTGCTTATGGTAACTAATATTGAATAGCATTGAGAAAAAGTCAATTATAAACATTGTAAAGAATAAAATAATGTTTTTAGCAATATTTTATTCATTTTGACTCGTGATAAATTTATACTGAAGAGATCTATCCGTTATCTATTATAAAAACATGATTATAAACTTAAATATGCTACAAAAAATTCAATAATGAACATTAACAAAATATTTTTTTGTCGAATGTTTTCTTAAAATCTACTCTAAAAATAGCTTTTTTCATTTATTTTTTTAAATTTTTTCGCAAATATAAAAAAAAAATAGTATTAAAATAATATAATATTTTCTTAGTTTTTTGATTTTTCAAAACATTGTGGATCAACTGTATAATAGGAAATTAATTAATTAAAAAATGACTAGTCGATATCAAGTTTTGGATCACTACTTCGAGAGTTATTTTTATACCTGAAATGAATAAGGAGTGCGGCTGAGAAATGTCAAATGATATAATTAGTCATATCGACGTCTCTTCCTCAGTCTATATCATACAGTTATAATAAATTCATAACAACTGGTCTAAAAGTAGTTATCGACCTGTCATATTCTTAAATGGATCATTTGCTATTTTATGAGCTAGTTAAATATATGTGTTACCATTAAAAAATATAAATTTAACATCCCTATAGTTTATAAGGGACGATTCTTAATATTACAAAAATGCAAATCTAGAAAAACATATTTTTTTAGAATCTGTGTAAAATTTTTAATAATTGTCAATCAAACCGTACTAGCAAATATATTAAATCATTAACAGGCCTTTAGAATGGTTGTTGCTAATATAATGACCACAATAAAGTTTTATCATTTCGGACGTTAAATAATTTTTTGTATCGGCGAATAAAAAAAATTGTAAATGTTATCTAAACTATAATTATTATGCGTGTAATTTGAAGGATGCAAACTCAATGATAAAATTATCATGTTAACTTACAAATTTAACAATTTTATTGTTTGTCAGGAGCGTATTTATAGTTTATTACACTAATCATATTGATTGCATAAAATAAAAAGTTTTCTTACCTATATACAGCCACACACACCAAAGCGTTGCCAATAAGTCCCACAACGAACACAACAGAGTGCATAGCTATGAATATCCATTCGGATTTTTCAGGTGTAATGTATTCAATCAAGTAATTCTCATACTCTTCGTCGGTCATATTGGCCGTCTCATCGTATTCCTCCGGTTCAGTTGTGTTCTGCATGGAAGTTATTGTAGGAGTAACATTTATGTGACTATTAACCACGTCGACAAAAACTAATGTCACCACCATCAATACGTGTTTCATCCACAAACTCATGGTATCTGAATTATACTAAAAAAATTGAGTATACTTGTAATTGATTTGCCTTTATATAGATTGTATTTGCATTTTATTAAGGATTTTATTATGTAATAAATAAAGTATAGTAAGTGTTGTGTGAAGAACATGTATGTATTCATATTTCAACAATTATTTATAACAGCTCACATGCTTAAAGCACAAACTCCAATATGTCACTCACAATATTATATACCCAGTATTTTTACTTCGTAAGAGAAATAAATTATTTTTCAGCAAGTGTTATTTTTCTATATGTCATAAAACAGCATAATATAAAATAAAAAAATAAAAACATTTTGCTTAGGGATCAACTAAACAAAAAAAAAAAATGTTTTTATAGAAATATGATTTTAATAGTGTCTGAATTTAAATTCAATTAGTCTGTATCTAAATAAACTGTTCTATTGACAAATTATCATTTATACCATCCAGAATAAAAATTATAATATTTCAGAAGGTATGTAGAAGCTTTTACTGGTGTAAATTAAAAAAAAAAACAGTTAAGTACATGTAAAATAAAGCAATCATTTAAGTATATAGCCGTTTAGATGATGGTAATATATACACACACTTTAAACTAATACTACAAAGGAACTTCAGCCGAAATGAACCAAGAACCAATCAAAAGACAAAACACTTTTCAATTTTAAAGCTGTAAGCAATCGAAAAATTAAATTTAGATAATGGTACACGTGTTTGATCTTATTGCGAGTTTATTTTGATAATACTTTCCAAACAATTTTCATAAAGGTATTTGCTTCTACTCCAATAAATTACCGGAAACTTAACTTCTCTTTAACCTGTTCAACTCAAGTTTAAATATTCTACGGGTATATTTTATTCAAGTTCAGCAAAACAGTAAGTCATTTATTACGCAACATTAACTTTAGTTCTACATTATGTAGATTGAAAAAGTCGTTAATTAACTTTATAACCAGTCTAATGTTTTTGTTGAATGTATAACGAAACAATAACTGTGTTTTATTTGCCATTACTTTTGTTATACACGTACCTTACGAGGAAGATATGCGTAAAATTAATAAAATTTAAATTACTTGATAACGCTATAAGAAAAAATAATATGTTCATCAATTTTACTGATTTATTATTATTCATTCATTCTTATTTGAATATGCATTATTTTTATTTCCCGTGGGTAATCACGGCTAAAATTTTAGATCGTTACACAAATATTTCAATAAAACAATATCCGTTATAGTTTATAAAGATTAATAGATGTATAAAAAATATTGGCGTGATTCCATTTAAAATATTGTCTCAACATAAATATCTGTTATTAATATCCATATTGTAGAAATACACACGTATTTTTCATCAAACTTTGAAAGTATTTTCAATTTATATTGTTTTGATTGATTCTCAAATGTAAAAAACTTGAAAGGTATAACAAATTACAAAATATTTGAATGGTTCAGTTGTTATTTTGCAATAGTTTAATATTGTAATGTTACATTTTTAATGTGAAATTATGTTTTACTCGTATTATAGAGGAGATAAATTCTAATTTGTTATATGTAAAACAAGAACTGAACAGTTTTAGCTCGACGATAGTGATTAGTATATCAAAAGTGTTGTTTTAATATTTATTTTTGCCTAATAATTGAATCAGATCGAATTTCTAAGTTAGGTTTGTCTGAAATAACGAATAGTTAGTTATGCCATTTTTACATAACATTGTATTTAAAAATAATATATATATATATATAGTATATATTTATAATATTAAAAAACGAATTATTTTAAAGTATTTAATAATAATCATAATTAAAAATTTCAGTACTATATTTTCTTATTTGCCTAGTTAATTAATTTAAGAAATCACTATTTACTTTTTGATTAATTAATTTAATAGTTAAAATTAATTTTTGATAAAAATATATATACGTTTTTCTTTGAAAATCAAATAATAAGTACCATAAATACATATAAATATCATTTGAAAAGAGAATTCTCTTATGTAAAGTTTAGATAATATTTCTAGTGATATGTCTATCTTATAACTTTTAAATGGAATGTGGGTTCGAAAATTTCATTTTTTATTCTATTAGGTCGATTCAGTTTAAATACTTAACCCCTAAATATTTCGTATTACAAAAATTATTTTTACGATTTGATTTTGTTTTGTTTAGCTTAAAATCCAAACAATAAAATTTGTCACGTCAAATATAATGTTATTGGTGATAAATTTACTAAATACTAGTTTTTTATTACTTAAATTCATTCAAACCATTGGTATTCATTTATATTTTTTTGTTAGTGTGTTTTACTTGGCAACTTTAATATACTCACAATTTTTATACTTTCTTCCAATAACAAGAATTTGAATTCAAGTACTTTACAGAACCTGTTTTTCTTACAGAAATTACTTGTATTTATCAATATTTGAATAAAAACCATATAGTTAAAATTATACAACTGTAACTGACGTCTGAATTTCTAATATTTAGCCTTAAGTGTTTGAGAAATCAATTAATATAAGTTACAACATTTACATCGCTTAGCTCATTCATGTATCAGGTTTATATCATAAAACACATAGCTATAAAATATTGTAATTTTTTCTATACATTTTTAAATTAAAATATAGATAATATTACACAATTTTAACCACTTTTTATTTGAAACTATCTAGAATAATGAGTAAACTGAAAAGTATAAGTTATGCTATTTTATAAATAGTAAGATGTGTATATTTGATATTATTATTGCATACACTAAACTTGATTTTAACAGAATATAAGGGTGTTTTTACTAGTTCAGACATATTATCTCTGTTATTCGATTTAATTAAATGAAATTGTATTTTTGTAAATTATTTCTCATTTCACAAAGAATTAAGTTTTACGAATAATAGAACACTAATTTTACAACTATAACATGACTACGATAAACAATAGACTTATAACTAAAAATTACTCAATGACTTATATTATATTGAGATAAGAATTAACAGTAAAGAACATTTTTTTCCTGTGACTTAAAAAATTGTGCGTGTATCACTATGGCAATCGTCAAAAATTTGAATTTTAGTATTATTCGAGGAATAAAAAAACGTTATGCATTGCATTATAGTTATAACGTTTAAAACATCAACATTTGTCAAATCGTAAACAAAACAACGACAAATAAAAAATGAAAATTCACGATATCCTGATTTATAATGTAAAACAATATTATATAATATTTGTTGAGATTTTTATAACATTTAACTCAATTTTATTGTAACGTTATTTATCTATTTAATTTTTTTTTTACTTTTGAAAGTGCAATAACCATGTATGATTTTGAAATTATTCGTAAGCAAATTAAAAAAACTGTTAAGACCGACATATTAGAGATCTAGCACAGGCAAATTTAATATATAAAAAGCTCTATCGGGTTTTAACATCTTTAATAAGTCTTTTAATTAAACAAATATTTTGCATTGCTTTTTTCGATACATTTTTGATGATAATAATTTATATACATAAATAAACATAAAAACTGAGTTTTTTCTTGTACAATATGTTAGCTTTTTAATTTTTAAATAAAACTTATGAAAAATTTCTAAAACTAAACTTTTTTCTTGTGTGCTTTATACTATTGATGTGAATATGTTTGATATTATTCAATACATAATATGAAAAATGATTAAGGTTGATAAAAAAAGTAAAAGGGATTAATTTTAAATACTTACTTCTGTGTTTTTATGTATTGATTGTATAAAGTATTTACGTGATGATATTTTTTTTTAACTAAATCATTTCACCATTTCATAAATAGGGCACAAACTTCACATATTAAATAATTTTGCAATACAAAACGCTTTATTTCAATGTCCGTACAGTTAAATATTAAACTATCTATGAAAATGTGCATTCGTAATGTAATATTTAGGTACTGTTTTACATTAAGATAAGTTTTTAGATTACTTGTGTTACTCGTAAATAATACCAAACTAAAATGTAAACAAAAATGATATTATAGAAAATTAAGTATTTTTAGACTAAAAATTTTAGTTAAGCTATATAAATTTTTTATTGCAACTCAACTATGTAATCTCGTAATATAGACTAGATTGGGTTAACAGTCAAATTAAACGACATTAATAAAATTTATAATTTAAATTTAAATATATTATTAGATTAGATAAAATATAATTAACAATAAATAATAAAAATGTAAAAAAAAAAAAAAATATATATATATATACAATAATTAATTCTTTGTTTTTGATAATGCAAGTAAATCAAAGAAAATTCAACAAAAATATTCACAAGTTATAATTTGTACCAAGGTATTAGTACCTAGATAATGGAAACGAACTAAAATGATGCCAAATAATAGGAGTTATTAACTTTGGTGTACATTTTTGCAATTATATGAGTTAACATCTATAGTCAGTCTTGTTAAAAGCTTTTTTAAAATGATCACTTTGATCTATTTTCGATAGCTAGATTATATTCAAAATCTTACTTTTTTCAGTTCAGTTTAATGTTTTGTAGTAGTATTAGTCATTTAATAGTTGATCTACAAAGACTGAATTGCTCCATATCTATAAATATTACTATGTTATACATATTCGTATTACTCAAAAATCATCTAAAAGAAAGGAACGTCTAATTGGAAAAATACTGAGTGTTTTAGTATGTTATGGCAATATGTTTTCTGTCTAAATAATTTTAGCAATAATTATATTAAAAGTTTTTATTACGCGTACACCATTACTTGTTTAACACATGGTTACTTTGATATTTTTTTTTGTTGTTGTATCAACAATTAAAAGTATTTGAGTCGTATATATTTTAAAACAGATTAAATATTTCAATGAGGATATATGATTAGCTAAGAAATATAAAATACTAACAGTATAAAGTGTGATTTAATAAGAATACTGTTCTTCAAATTTCGTTAAATAATGATTTTTTCATAAAAATGGTATTATTCTTAATAAATCATAATATTTCATATCTTCATTTAACTGCAAACAG